AGAATAAGTAGCATGATCAATAGAATAAGTAGCATGACAATAGAATAAGTAGCATAATCAATAGAATAAGTAGCATAATCAATAGAATAAGTAGTATAATCAATATAATATGTACTACAATCAATAGAATAAATAGCATAATCCATAGAATAAGTAGTATAATCAATAGAATAAATAGCATAGTCAATAGAATAAGTAGCATAATGAATAAAATAAGTAGCATGATCAATAGAATATGGAGTATAATCAATAGAATAAGTAGCATAATCAATAGAATAGGTAGTATAATCAATAGAATAAGTAGTATAATCTATGGAATAAGTAGTGTAATCAATAAAATAAGTAGAATAATCAATAAAATAAGTAGTATAATCAATAGAATAAGTAGCACAGTGTATAGAATAGGTAGCATAATCAATAGAATAAGTAGTATAGTAAAAAAAAAGTAGAATAATCAATAAAATAAGTAGTATAATCATTAGAATAAGTAGTATAATCAATAAAATAAGTAGAATAATCAATATAATAAGTAGTATAATCAATATAATAAGTAGTATAATCAATAGAATAGGTAGCATAGTGTATAGAATAAGTAGTATAATCAATAGAGCAAGTAGCATAATCAATACAATAAGTAGCATAATCAATAGATTCAGTAGTATATTCAATAGAATAAGTAGCATAATCAATAGAATAAGTAGCATAAACAATTAGAATAAGTAGCATAATCATAAAATGAAGCTGTGTTGTTAATAGGCAACATAGCTGAATGTGAAGATTTGTACATTTTATCCACAACTATTTGGTGCTGTTTGAAATCATATAGATTGAGAGCATCTAAATGCTGACTATTTTTCGCTCTATTTTTGTAATAAGTTATTTAACACTGTCAACGCAGACTAAATCAATATTCTAGCCAGTACAGCCTACTAGCCTTGCAATGTGATAAATACATGATATATTTATATTACTACAATGAATAATCGAAAAGTAATAAAAATCATCTGTCGAGTTATAAGCGCTTAATTGACCAGTTAAGCACGTGTGATACTTCCTTTTTTTTGTAGCCTCTTTGAACTATGCCTTCTGGATACTCGTGCAAACTCCTAATCAGTTACATCGCTCACGGTCAATACATAGTCACCATCGTCAGGTAGTACAAACCCATGATGAGTTCTTAGAAACGTTCTCTTTTAAGCTTTCTCGATTTCTTTTCTCGCTAATTGACATCGCCGCTCACGCGCGGCGTTCTTCCTTTGTGATTTGCGTTTCTGGGATACGGTGTCGGTCATACTTTTTGTTGGCCTTTTTCTTTTCGAGTCTGGTACTTACTCGTTTGTTTTGTCGTCCTCATCAGATTGACTACTAGATCCTGAATCAGAAGCGCTAAGCTCGTATACCACCAATTCATCCCCCCTATCTGCTTCAGCACCATCCGTAGAATTGCAGACAGTACCGAACTGGGGGTTTGACTAGGGACAATTTTCGACAGAAATTGGAGTCATTATGTTTGTCCCCAGGAATATATGTCATTAGCATACCTTGAAGCCTCCTATTTTTAATTATGAGAGCTCTGAATAACAAATCATTAATCTTGAATCTGAGAATCTTGTGAATTTATCTTTTTACAAAGGAATCATTGTTGGTGGCTGTCCGGTGATTGGTGTTCGTTGATGTTTCGTCCCGAGATGTTCTGATTCGATAAAATAAAACAAAAAATATTGATCCATGACAACTATGCATACGCCATACACTAAACAGGCATACACACATACACTACACAGGCAAACACACATACACTACACAGGCAAACACACATACACTACACAGGCATACACACATACACTACACAGGCAATACACACATACACTACACAGACATACACACATACACTACACCGGGATACACACATACACTACACCGGGATACACACATACACTACATAGGCATACACACATACACTACACAGGCATACGCACATACACTACACAGGCATACACACATACACTACACAGGCATACACAGCGCATCATGTATATATTGAATTTTCTGTGAGGTATTTGAAATTCCAAGCATTAGGAAATAATGCTATTCACACCAGAACTTTGGTAGCCCAGATTCAGATATCCATGGGCGATATGCACTCGAGCTTTCACAGTTTCACCACATATCTTGTGATTATTAACGAACCTGCACTGTATGCATCGATTCCTAGCAAACGTCCATGCTTGGGGGCAAGTAGCTAAACCGTACACACTAGTAGTAAACCCTAAACCCTAATACCATCAGTCGTTGATAGGAACCAGTAAATACATTCATTTAATGTTGTCTCTCCTTGTCTTTGGGTGATGAAATCCCAATTGCGCATCGTAGACATCTGTCCTCAATCGTAGAGACAGGAACAAGCAAATTCATACCACTACCGGTAGTAGGGCTGCGATGGCACCATCCCTCAGACAGTGCCCAACACAACTGGGCAAAGATATGGCGGCAGAACATTCCAAACTATCTTTGCCGTCTCACTTATCAGCCACGAGTATAGTGAGTGTGCTTGTCACTCTATATATCAGAGCTCATGTGGGAACAGCCGAATTAGGGTACTCGATTGCACATATCGGCAACTAATTCGACCCACATTCACACTCGTGGTATGAAGCTTACATTATACCCACATTCACACTCATGAAGCTTACACTATACCCACATTCACACTCGTGGTATGAAGCGTACACTATGAGCTTCAAACGCGTCTGTGTTGATTCTATCCTCCTTCTTGATGGCCTTCTCGACACGGGGGTATAGGGTTTTATAAAACCCTAAAACAATAGGATTCTATGTCGTTCGACATGTTTATAGGGGAGTTCAGGGTGAAGTCACTACCAGAAGGGACACCTGTAGAAATGGTCGCAGACAGGAAGCAAATAGTACTTACAGGTATGTTATGCCAATGCATATCGCTATTTACGTGCACGTGCATGATCACTTCATATACACGGTGTACCTTCTGTTTCTCTGTTAAATGGATGAAATTAGTACCTACAGGTTATGGTATGCCAATGCATATTGATATTTACGTGCACGTGCATGATCACTCCATACACACGGTGTACCTTCTGTTTCTTTGTTAACCTCTGTATCATGCAACCCTTTGCACTTTCGACTGTGGTCAAAATCATCAACATTGCAATAGCTTCTATTATATGCCAGAACACCTCATGCGTGCACATGTGAATACCACAAAGGATATTTATATGCATGCCTCAGCGGTATAATAAAAGTTGACACCACTTGACCATTTAACATCACAGATGTATAAAAGTAAATCTGTAAATACATATCATATATAAATTTACTATATACACACACACACACACAGACACAGACACAGACACAGACACAGACACAGACACAGACACAGACACAGACACAGACACAGACACATATATATATAAATTGCATACACACACACACACACATATATATAT